AGTTTGTAAAATTGCCTAAGTCACATTGACTTTGGACTTAGGCCGAATTATTTTGCCTAAGTCACGCTCTTGTCATGGTTTATATTACAGCCTAAGTAACAACAGGGTTTTAAAGCATGATCTCCTCAACAGAGGCCTTAGGCGTTTTTACCAGAGGTGCCCAGCGTCAAGAGGAGCTGATTTAAGCAAAAAAATCATTTTTGGCAAAATGTCACTTAGGCGATTAGTTTAAGAAGGCGTCGATATTTCACTCTAAAGGCAATGGAACAAAAAGTACAACACAAAACACGTACAATGCTAACCCTGTGGGAAAGTGCTCCTAGCTGGAGTCTGAGTAGGTCTCAGGGCTGTGGTTCCTCTTGGAGGCTGTACATCATCTGCATGATTCCATGGAAAACTAACAGACTATATAAAACATGGACATGCACCACCACACACTATGCTTTTAGTGTGATAAAAAAAAAACATGGTTTGCATATTCTCCCTGTGTCTGGATAACTTAGCTTGTGTTTCTTACAGGGATGTTCCTACTTAAATAATGGTCTTTGAATAATGATCTTTAGTCCCGTCTAATTTAAAGCAGATTGAAGTTTCCCATTTTGCTTTAGATAAAATTTGGGCCATACAAAAATACATTTATTTTATTTGCTATGAGGAGAATAATTGTATTTAAAATTAGTAACACAAAATAAGTAACTGCACACAACACGAGACACAAAATAGTTTCAGATCAGACATTTTGGAGTATGCAGTAGATTGAGGCTTAGTCACTGCAACAGGATGGGGCCTGATTCTCTGTACAACAAAGAAACAAAACAACAGTCCTGTCATTACCTGGACCAGGGACAGTGGCCTGCTCTAAACGTACACCAGCTTCATTAGCACCATCTGGGCCAACTTTACTGCACTGCACTGTTTTCTTCTGTCGTTTTCTACCTTCCACTCAGACACGGTGGGCACATTGTTGTATGAGAAGTGCTGGATTTCACCCTGAACAAGACCAGAGTGGATAAATTAGATGTTGGCTCCACAGCTCTGAAACTTACTGCGCTGTAGCCTCAAAAAAACTAAGGGAGGAGCTCGTGGTTTTGCACTCCATAAACTGTTATGCTACGAGTGTTGAATTGGAAGATCTCAAGAGGAGAGTAAGGTTTTATTTTCAAGGGATAAAAGGCAAAAGCATCAAACACAAACAATGAATTTATCTTAATATAGTTTAAAATGAATTAAAAATGTTTATATATTATAATTTAGTATCAATATTTAGATATAAATAAGTATTAAGTAGTTGATTCTAGTTTTAGTATGGATTATATCTGCAAACATACGACATGTAGGTTATATTGCTTTATAGGAACACAAATCCTTGTCACTGCTGTTAAAGCTCCCCCTACAGGACAACACACGACATGCATATGGCTCCTTTCCCCAAATTACATCAATAATTTGTAATTAATTAAAAACTAAAAATGTATTACAAAACAAATTATAACTCTAAGATGTACACATTTGAACATATAATTTTAAACAGTACCTTTAAATTACACTAATGTTAGTGATGATACAAATATTGTGTTAATAAAAGTAAAGTATACCTCTAACAATGTGGGACACTGACAAGATATAAAAACATATTTTTGCCACACCAGGAACCAAGGCTGCCTTATAAATGTCAACTCAAAAGGATGACGTATGATTAGATGATTCATGTTACAACTCAGCGTTGTATTAATTACAATTATTTATGATTTTATGCCGACAGGCAACCATTAAAGCACATTGGCAAGCTGTAGCTGTTTGTCAAATTGAACCTGTCTGACACCACAAGCAAAACGTGTAATAATCATAATCTTATCATACTTAGTAAATTTATTCCATGTATTTATAGGACATTATGAAGACATTTTATGACTTTTAAGGTTTACCTTTAGGGACCTGTGTTTCGTTCCTATAAGAGCATTCTGACGAGTGAAAAAGCCTTCACGTCCCCATGACATAATAAAAAGTGCACTCACACTTACATACACACCAAGCACACAGTTAATAGTCGCTCGGTGCGGTAGAAGCTTGCGGTTCGCTCACACTCTCCAGGGGCAGAGCACTCAGAGACAGGCCACGCTTGTCGGCTTCCTTAAAGGTCAACTCATCTACTTAAGAGGCGCCAATTTACTTTAATGTACATTGTCCAAAAGAACAAGAGGAAGAGAAAGGGAAATGTCATCAAAAACAGCACATCTGGATCTTTATTCTCTATTTTTCTTGGAAAAGTCGAGCCACCAGTCAAAAAAACATTAAGAATGAATGTATAAATCAATGCTGGGGCGGAGTAGAAAAAAACAATGTTCACAGCAAAAGTGCAACTATGCAGCAGCAGCACAAGTCATCAATAGTCCTTTAATGACCTTGTAGTATGTGTTACATTCTACAGGCAGCTTCCAGCCTCTTGATAGACTCTTGTAGATGCCATTCCTTATCACGCAATGCCTCTCAGTCATAAACACAGGACAAATGCGGCCTTAATCATTTTTTACGAGCAGGGATGTGCAGGGGGCAGTGATGGCTGCAGGGAGAGGGGAGCAGCGGGCGGCCCTCTGCTCAGAGGAGCGGCAGTCTCCTCTGGAACATCACAGGCCTTTGATGTGCACACCGCAATTACAGCAGCATCCAAATGAGCGCCGAGTCGCCTCTGAGACAGACTTCAAACATGCACATGGACACATTCTCATACACATACACCATAGACCAGAGCCATGTGCTGCTCTCCACAGTAAATGATGTTCTGTCTCCAGCAGTGCAGCTGGGATGAAAGCAGCCATGCTCCTTGTCTGATCCACATTAATGATGGTTTGCTAAAGCTAATACGCTGGATTCTTGTCTAAACAAGAGCAGCTTGGTATGTGGCTCCCATACTCCAAACAAAAAGGATGACAGTTAACAACAGGCCGCTTCAGGGCCTCCAATCTCCGATAACATTATTGTATGGTTGTTTCACAAACATGTCACATAAGTTACAGCACACCCAACCTGCTCTGACTGTGGTACAAACATCACAACTGAAAATCGGCTTCAGATGCATTTACCTAAACAGTATCTGGCAACATGCCATCAACAAAAGAGCAGAAATCAAATTGGTGCTTGTAGAGAAGTGTAAACTAAACCTGTGATATGCCCTCAATGAATGTCCTAAGAGACACAGATAAAATTGGCTTATTTGCCTCATTCGAGGATTCGCCTCCCTTTCTGCGCACATTAAAGCTGAGATTGCAATTTGTCTTGCTGTTTGCTTTGAATAGTCCTAAAGCATATCATCATCTCAACTGTGCCGGTGGAAAAACACGAGAGCATGGCGACAGCCAAATGGCAGTCTGGCGTCTCCGCTGCAGACTAGCTGCCATTAGGGCTGAGAGCAGCATTTATTGTACAATTAGGGCCAGCTCGATCTACCTGTAATCATCTCCATACAGGTGTGAGCTGCTCTCTGGACAAGGGAAGTGACTCATCACTTGTCAAACATCAACACTTTGATGTCAGTATTGTTCAGTGGGGAGCCCCCAGGACACCTGAGCACTACTGTTTAAAACAGCACAGGATTTATTGCATTTCTCACAGTAAAAATCTCCACACACGCAAGTTGAAAAAGCTCTTTCTGCTGATGACGGATGTTCCACATGCCATGAATCATTTGATTTATGAGCTCGCTCCCTCCTCTCCCTGTCTGACACTCATACTTTCGTGTCAAGAACGTTTTAACAAACACTCATAGGTAAACAACTTCCCTTGTAATACAATGCTGCCAAGTAAAGCCTGAAAACAAATTTTGCAAGAAGTGACACCACAAAGCCTAGAGGGCAATTGGAAAAGTGTGGTAACAATCCACAAGTTGGTGTTATTGACAATCTGCTGGAGTGAGGAAAAGTAGCCCTTTCACATGTAATGGATGTGTCCGTGGCCTCTTCAGAGATAACAAGCACGGACCACACAGACAAGCAACTTTACATCCTTGTTTGAAACATGTGTAATACTGTTTATATGTTACTAACATACAATTAATGCTATTTTTTTACTGTGCAGACAAGAATGTTTCTTTAAATCAAATATTTATGCACCAATTGAAAGAAGTTCTCATAATGTATTCTTTGAACAAAGACAAACAACAACATCCCAGGGACTTTAGTGCCCTTGAGTCAATACATACTGTATATCTGACGGTTTCTCTTCTAGATGTATGTTCGTTTCTGTTGGTTTGCTGCATTCTTGGAATTCTGTGATCGGCATAAGTCTTTCTTACTTCAGCCTGAAACAGTTCATTTGTGATTATATTTTGTATTTTTGTGTGTGTTATATCATAAAGTATGTGAGAATAAACAATAACTACTAGGGTACTAATTATACCCGACTTCACTTTCATCTATATTTTCCAACTGTATGAAGCAAGCTGGATAAGTTTGACAATAAAAGCCTAGGCTGACATTGCACAAGCCATGACTGTAAAGAAAGTCCTGTAAAGTATGCCACTCATACTCACTTGAGCAACAACATGTGTAGACAAAACCAAATATTTGATGCAAGCCCCTAACCGGCCATATAATATTAATAGCGGTGTTTATGCCTCGAGTTTATTGTCCCCTCTCCTCATCGTATTAATCCTTTGCTTGTTTTTGTTGTCATATAAACCCTTTGATATCATATGGAAATTTTGCAGTGAAATAGAGTCCGTATGTGGCTTAATGAAGAGCAGAGTCGGAGGGCAGAGCTGGCTTAGTGCCACCTCCAGGCAGATCCTCTCACAAAGATATGACCGCCAAAACCAGCAGGGGGGCACCTTCAGTAGATCTCCGTGTCTACACTTCTCACACTCCACAGTACTGTTTTAATGCAGTCAGGACGCAAGATCCAATCAAAGTTAGCAGCAAGCCGCTTCGTAAGTAGGAGAAAAAAGCTCTTTGCCAGTGATTAATGAGTGCAACGAGACACGGCGGCCTATACCTCCCTGCACTTACCATTTGTTCTTTCTCCTAATGTAGTCTTTCTCCGAGAGGTTAACGAGGTAAATCATGGGTTTGGATGTCAGAAACAAGTATTTGTTCAGCACTTCGATCTGAAAAGACAGTGGCGGAGTGAGAAAAAGCTTCGAAATGTTAACAACAGCTAACAAAGTAGAGCGAATGCAAAGTCTGTTTAGATTTATAGGAGCCATGGGGGGGCACTATAAAGATCAAGATCAGCATGGCCAGATGTCATTAGCTTGTACAAAAGTGATGTCAAAATAGAACGCAACGCAAAAAAAAAAAAAAAAAAATAGAACGCAACGCAGATATTAATATGATTTGCAGAAAGCCGCAAAACTCCAGAAAGCATTTGGTGTTTTGCATACATCCATATGACTTCAAAGACTTACCTCCTTGTCGTTCCAGTCGTGATTGTAGCGGACATGCTTTTTTTCATCCACTACCCAGCTCTTGATTTTGCACATTATGTCCTGTTCAGGGTTAAAAGAGAATAAACAAGAAGCCATTAAAGGAGATGAAAAAGAATATAAACGCAGCAGGGTATGGGGTAATTATTTCCTAAATGCACTGCATCCTGATGCCCAAATGAACAATGGCTGTGCAGGGATTGAAGCAGGACATAGATGGCACGCACAGGACCCCCTCGCGTCTGAACCAACCTTCAGGGCTATATCAGAATATCTGATATTGTTTAATGATGAGGGTGGCAGGCGAGACAAGGAGTCAGTTACTTAAGTGTAAATGATCAGCTCCCTCTCAAATTCTGACTCAGAATGCAGTCATTTGGAATGCACTCCAGTGAGCCACACAAGTATTTATTCAGTGATTCTTGTAGAGAAAACATGGAGCATCAGCCTCAATGCAAGCCACATTCATTACTGAGGCACTTGTGGGCTGGGACCATGGGCAGGACTGGGTCTTGACAGGATCTGGAAGCGGAAAAGGGTGGGAAAATGGGAGGGAGGTAGTTATAAAATTTGTAATAAAGAAATTGAGCCTATTATTGTTGATCCAGCCCCACGAAAATTAGCGGAACACATTCTTTTTGTTCCTGTCAACTTGACCTCCCCCTTCATATAAAAGTCTCCCACCCCCTGCAACACTCCCTCAGCCTGCTCTTCCCTCCCCAAAGCCTCGCAGCACTTCACAATCACACTGCTTTTTCAAAGAAGTGAGGAAAAAATCCTGCCAGAGCCTCAATTACACAATGGCAGAGAGAGCGGCACACACTGACCCCCGGCCAGCTGCATTCGCTCTGGGCACATCTCTCTCCACAGGAATTCTAAAGGCCTTTTAGTGGTGCGGCCAGAGAGCAGCAGCGGGAGAGAGCGCAGGAAGAGGCGCGGACGCAGGGCCAGTGCGGCCCAGCCTTCACAGAGAGATTAATCATGTGTGAAATGGAAACAGCAAACGGGCAGTGACACGGGCTGAACCCGCTCCAGGTTTCCCTCATCAGCTCTAACAGGCAGGTGTTAATAAAAGGCAGATAGGTCCCACAGGGGTCAGAACATATGCCTGCCACCATCACACACTGCTGCGGCCCACCACTGCACCATTGTTTTCACAGAATTCACAGCAACAAAAGCATCAAATATTGTTCTTGAAAACACAGCACAAACAAATGGATTTAAATCTTTATAGCAATGCATAAAAATGACCCCGTGCTGCTGCATCCATTTAAATGCAGAGGGAAACATTATGTAGCAGCAAAACAATACATATGCAGTCTTTCAGATACAATATATTATTTATGAATTCAACAATTTAGTCAGGAGGTGCATTGAATATGTGTTCCATTATTGTTTAATTATCTTAATGTGTGCACTTACATGTGTTTCCTTACAAACTGTCTCAACAGGAAGCTGCTGATAATTGCAGATCTGTACATTACTAAACACCTGTGCATTAAATCCAGCATATGGCTGTTTTAAATAATACTTAAAAAATATTCATATATTGGAACCTTTTGGAAAGAGCTATTATAGATGAAAAACTAAGTTTTACATTAAATAAATATCAAGCAGTAATGAAAGATATCTTTTTGGGTTTTTTTACATTCTCACCTTAAATCTTTTTGTGTCATTGGAACAAAAGCCGTGAAATACGATGTCTCAGAGATAGAAAATAGGTGACATAAAAGTTTGATGACTTGATAATAGGTGTAGACTGTATTTTTGCTCCCTCCCTTCACCTGCTTCACATATTGTTTCTCATTTAATAGGCCCCTGTCATTGTGCGCACATAACGTCCTATATTGTCAAAATGCAGCTCTCTGGGCAGACTCCCGCGCTGGTCTGATGCTGACATAAACATGTTTGAAGGAGACAACACACAGCTGAGGCGTTCGGAGACAATCCCAGCGTCTCTGAGCTGCACCCGCCTTTGATAAGCACCATTCTTCTCCATCTAAAGAGGTCTTCTATAGATTTCACTTTGCCGACGTGTGCACAACCTTTGACAAGTAATGTAGATCATTTTTATTCATTGCCTAAAATTGTTAGCAATTATGTGCGTAAGCGGCCACCTGCCTGGGCTGAATGGCTCCTGTCTGCGGGCTACAGGGTGTGGGGGAGTGCTGTTGGCAGGGAGGAGGAGGGGAGGGGGTGTGGTGGGGCGGTCTTCAGGGGGAGGTGGGGGGGTGACAGGCTTGGGGGCGGCTGCAGCAGGTGAAATAGCCCCTCTCGTTAGTGTAATGACTGGTCAGAGGCTCAAATTGGGCATGCAGCTTATAGCAAAAGGCCAGGTTTGCTCACGCTCGCACCATGATAGGGCAGTGGGAGATGTTCACCACCAAATCGATGTTAAAGTTAGCCGCGAACCCTCATTAGCCTAACAATATGAGCAGCGCGTCCACATACTTTCTCTGATCTCCTTGTATGACTAACCCTAACCGCTCTGTCAAAGTATATGCCAAACATTTAAGCTATTCATAACGACATATAGGCTTCCCTTTCACCCAGGGCTTGGCCTCACACAATTTTCCCCGGCGCTGCTGCTGTAGGTGTCTGATTTGAGTATTACTTTAGATGAAAAGAGCTCTGCGGATACACTTTCATTAGCCTGGTAGTGCGACCCGGGGTCAGCAGCTGAATAAGTAACTCTCTATTAATGATTTCTACAGCAGAAAACCATGACCCCACGATCACTTCCCATCTCAGACAGGGGAAAAAATGGCCCAAAGAGGAGAGGAAGGAGGGGTGGGGATTCTTATTGGAGGGAGATTATATTAAAAAAAAGAAGAAATCTCCCCGGGCATGTGTGTGGGAGGGTTATACTTTTGTAGCATGCTGTGTGAGGAAGCTAAGGCCTGTTGGGGACATGAACTCACATATTCTGGTTTGAGCTTTTTGTCGCCTCCTCTGATGGCTGTCTTCTCCAGCTTGTCGATAATGGGGCCGATCAGCTCCTCGTCCTTCAGCCATAACTCCTCGTGGATGATCTCAATGTCCCGCACAGGGTCCACTGTCCCCTCCACGTGAATGATATCCTCATCTTCAAAGGCACCTGCAGAGATGGCAGAGAAAACATACTGTAAGCCTCCACGTAGAATGACACCACGACACCATCTGGAAGCACAAGATCAATGGCATCGACTGTGAGATGAGATTAGATTTAGTTGCAAAAGAAATAATTATGTGCTGCAAAGAACATGGGGGGAATAAGCATGTAAATAAGAACTCTCAGTAGGACGTTAAATTGTGACAATATAGTGAAACATCTTTAAAGGCACTATACTGTATTGATCACATGTTCCTAAAACATATTAGGCCAGATCAAACACAACATTTAAATGAATCTAAAGAATAGTCACTGTGAAATATATACTCAACTGAAACAATGCTCATGCAATAAATGTTGATAAATCTTGCAGCAACTATGAAGAACGGCAAACACCTAGAAATAGAATAGAGCAAAAACACACATAAATACATTGAATTATTGGTGGACCCTCCTCAGCACTCATTGGACTACTTCAAATTAATTGTTTTACATTAGCTAACCTTAATTTTTTTGAATTTTCTTTCATTTTTTCATATAAATCCAACAAAACAAGAACAGTGTAGCTTATTTTTTTTGCTTATAAAGAGCACATTTAGGATCAAAATGTCATAAGAAAATGGTGGCAAGAGCCACGCTCTTTGGTGCTTAAGCCGGGGCTGTGCTGGTGATTAGGTAATGAGGCAGGAGAAGGCTATTTAGCACCAGTGCCTCTAAAAACTCCTCCAGCCGAGCTCCTCGTGGTGGGGGTGGGGGTGTCACAGTCTGCAAGATCTGACCAAATGTAGCCTATTATTTATAGTTAGTCTATCATAGAACAATGTCTTATTGTAATTACAAATTACAATGTGTCAGTTATGTTTCACGTTTCCCCCAATATAGATGTTATTTATTATAGAACATCTCATGTTTTGATCCACCTATGACCTTTTAAGTTATGTATATTGCAAAATTACAAACAGACAAACAAACAAACCCAGATGAAAACATAACCTCCTTGGTGGAGGTCAAAAAGACCTACATTCAACTTAGGTGCCTCCTTGTGTCTCCCAGAGAATAATAGCTGACACACTACATACAGTATGTGCCGAAGACTTTAGATTTATTGAAGAACTGAACATCCCTAATGAGCAGGTTTTTGATCAATGGATTTCCTCTTCCCTGTGGTTTACGGCGCATGGGCATGATTTGCATATACTGTACAAAGAGTCCAGATCTAAACCCCATTGAGAATCTTTGGGATGTACAGGAAAAGTGGTCACACTCTCACAATCTTGAAAAACAAATGATGCAATTCTAGATGGAAATCTTGAAACGAAAGAAATGTGCGTCATTTTAAACATTAAAGCTGACATGCACATTATAGATGTATTTTTGTGGCAAGATGTTTTTAATCGAACACATTTGCTTCCGCTTTAAGCAGACCAACCGGGAGCCAAATGATTTCCACCTTTCTAGTCTTCATTCGTCACATAACCATACGTTTACATTGTGTCAGAATAAGAATGCGGCTCCTGTCAGTGCGCGAGTGGAAGTGGTGTGAATGACAGTTGGCTCGGTAAAGTACAGTATGTGAAGAATGCACATGTAAAGTGTTATCAGTGGCAGATTAGAGCACTGACAACCCAAATGTGCAGCACTGTGTTGACAGGCGAAGCCCAACGCAACAGAAACATCAACAAGTAGAAGCATCATTCACAGAGCTGTCACCATATCGGCCCTTACACTAAGAAGCTGATGAGGCTTGTTCTTCTCACTATTTAGTTTAACCTAGAGCTCAAGTGGATCTCATATAATCAAATAAAGTAGCACATCACTAATCACTTGTTTGAGTTGTTTCCATGCCAATTCTTGACTGACAGTTTACTGGTTTGTGGTTTTTGAGTGTTCAGTGTTGAGAGAGGAAGGCTCGACTTTGATTCTACAAAAAATACTTGATACCAATCAAAATATTGTGTAATTTTATCTCAAAAATAATAATTTTAAAGGGGGGATAAGGTTGCATACAAGTTCTTCTGATATAGGTTAAAATTGCCTGAAGCCCTCGCTGAAAAATCAAGGCTGTATCGTCACTGACATAGCAGCGATCCTCCTGTGGACTCACCACCTGCAGGAGGATCAGTGAGGGGCTGGTGCCCAGTGAATTGGGTGCAGCTGACTGCCACCCATCCGACCCAGAAATGGATTAAGGGGAAGAAGATGGATGGATTATCTGTTCTCATTTGAGAGGTTGATATTGCAGATTCTAAATGTTTCCATTCATGCATTTGATAAAGTGTGTCATAATACTAAATGACCACCAACTCTACAAACCAGTTTGTCTCGAAAATGAAGGATCCTTATAATATTGCTGAGATGTAAGACTAAAGCTAGATTGTAGTTGTTTAATAATAAGAAAATAAATCATCTTGACCGATCTGTCTTTTTCTTAACCCTTGTGCTATACCCTAAAGTCTAAATGATCTGCCACGATCATAAAATGTAGAAGATTAATACCCTAATTTATGGTCTAAATTAGAAAATTCCACATGACATTTTTTCATTTAGGGTATTTTTTAGTCACTCGCAGGTCAGTATCATCTGAGGAAAGCACAAGGGTTAAATAAAAGACCTCCTCAATATGTGTTCAGATATTTAGATCATACGGAGAAATAAGATGCTGATCTGGAAGAACTTGTGCAGTGTGAGACTTTTGTGCAAGCTGTCATCCCGCACGTTGTCCTCATGCTGAAATGAACTTATCCAATTACTCTTTGCTTAATCAGGCTGTTTTGGTTCCTCTCCTCTTGCAGAGGTACTCCACAGTATAAACAGTTCACTTACGCCACACAGAAAGGGGCTAATCAGTGGAATTATTGTTTTGCCGTTCCAATTTACCAGCTCCCTGTTCAGCACTGATTGGAATGAAAATTTGCCATTGTGTCTGTGTGAACAGGGAAAATATAATGCAATGTAATCATTTTGTTAGCTGAGCGAATATACATACATTACAAGCAATTATGATTTACAGTTTCTGATATGCGTTTGTTTTTCAATTTAGCAAGCAATAATTAGGAGCAAAGTACTTTGAAATGGTTTGCATGGATAATAAAACTCTATGAATTTGTATAAATCACTGCTGATTGGAGCATCCACAATAAATATCTGTGTCCATATGTCCCAAGGAAAAGGAGTAGATCATTTTTGCAACACATTTTAAAAAGGCAATCAGTGCCCCAGCTAATGTCATACCCAATAAAAAGGCTGATAAGTAGGATTTCAAAAGGGCTTTTGAAAGCAGCTGATCAGTCACTATTTAGTCATCAGCTGACACTTTCCTCTGACTGCCACATATTCCACAGTAATTTGCTTTAATTAATTTTGCCTAATTTAACATTCACATCTACTTTAGTGTCGCACCATTCACGGTTTAGAGCCACGAGAACAAATAGACGAGGTGAAAGAAAAAAAAGTGCAATCGGAGGGGGCCAATCTCCACAATTAGCACTTCTTTAACAAGGCGCTCTGGACCTGGCCGCACAAAGACCAGCGCCACAAAGACACATATGCACGGCGCTAAAGCATGGACAAGGAAGATTGGTGGTGAGGGAGGGCGCTTCATCCTACACAGTCACTATTGTACTGTCAGTTTAGAGGGGGCTAATAATAACAGGTGCTTCTTCACTGATACAGCCAAAGATCCACTGCTTTAATGGAGATGGATGTCCTGAATGTGGTTTAACAAGGCCATTTTGGAGAGCTCTTTGAGATCAGTCCACTACAATCAGACTTACTACCATTGGACATTTCTTTTTTCATTGTTTTTAGTTTTTTTATTCTTCAAAAAACAAACATATAAAGACACAAGCACACATAGGTCCAGAATAGCAACTCAAATAAAATGAAATTCTATAGGGGAAAAGCAAAAGAATCCAACGTTGACAGTAGTCACTACCCGCAGAAGGCGGGACAGTGCACAAGGGGGCTTCCATCTTTTTAGAGGCAGTAAGCCCTGCCAAGAGAACCTTTTGATTTGCCCTGTCAATTCCAGGCCGAGAGCAGAAGGACCAGGGGAGAGCAGGACCTCAGACAAGGCATGAGGGCAGAGAGGGCATCAACTCACTTTTCAAAGTTTGTTATTATTTTATTTATTTTTTATCAAAAAATGCATTGTATATAATGGCACTATAAAAAAATTCTCCATGAGGAAAGGAATTAGATTCAGATTCAAGAGATGATAGTTCTCAAATAAGATGTAATTGTAAAGCGATCATGAACCCTGACGTAATCATAAGGCCTACTTTTGACAGACGGCAAAGAGACAGAAAGTCTGCAGTGGTAATGTGCAGAAATGAATCATTGCTGAAGCGCTCCAGAACAAATAAGCTCTTGTAGGCTCAGTACGTCAATATACGTGTATTTGATTTCTTTCAGAATTTCTTTTGGGTTTGAAGTTACAATAAAAAGTAAACAGAAACATAATAAAATATGAATAGTGCAATAATACACTTTGTCCACTTCTATTCATAGCAGTTGTGAGTGGGATTCAAATGTATGTACGCAGGTATGAACGAGCAGCGATAGCGATAGCAGCAGCTTGCTTATATCATTACTCTCTTGTCAAGCGCACAGACAAGGCAGTCATCAGAGTCAAGCTGGATCGATAATGATTGAGCCGCCTCTGTGATGTTGCTACCTGGGAGGATATGTGGTCATCATAATTCAGCTAAATTACAGTATGCATTGACTTGTGACTTCCTGCGCATGTTCTCGCACGTAGTCAGGCCTAGGAGCACATCTAAAGCAGCTGCATTCCTCTGCAATGCTTTTAAAAATGCTCATGCAAACTCCACCACGTTGCTGCAATTCTCCTGGTATTCACGGCAGTAAACGCTATTTTACGAGTCTGTCAGGAAAGGCACATTATGGACGTCTTCTTCCTAGGATAAAAACACTGGCAACACGTACAAGAGTATTTACGTTCATTCAGGAAATATCGCTTTGACATTCATTTTAAGAATTGCAGA